GAAGACGGGACTTTTTGCATAAAAAACGTCATTTTTCGACCCCCATTTGACCCCCCGGGGCAAAATCAAAATTCCGAAACCTTACTGCACATCTACATGACACCACCAATCATCCCCCAAAAAGTGATTAGGCTGCTGAGTAAAATGTAGAAGGAGTTCAGGGAAGACGGGACTTTTTGCATAAAAAACATCATTTTTCGACCCCCATTTGACCCCCCGGGGCAAAATCAGAATTCTGAAACCTTACTGCACATCTACATGATCCCACCAATCATCCCCCAAAAGGTGATTAGGCTGCTGAGTAAAATGTAGAAGGAGTTCAGGGAAGACGGGACTTTTTGCATAAAAAACGTCATTTTTCGACCCCCATTTGACCCCCCGGGGCAAAATCAAAATTCTGAAACCTTACTGCACATCTACCTGACACCACCAATCATCCCCCAAAGAGTGATTAGGCTGCTGAGTAAAATGTAGAAGGAGTTCAGGGAAGACGGGACTTTTTGCATAAAAAACGTTTTTTGACCCCCATTTGACCCCCAGGGGCAAAATCAAAATTCCGAAACCTTACTGCACATCTACATGATACCACCAATCATCCCCCAAAAGGTGATTAGGCTGCTGAGTAAAATGTAAAAGGAGTTCAGGGAAGACGGGACTTTTTACATAAAAAACGTCATTTTTCGACCCCCATTTGACACCCCGGGGCAAAATCAAAATTCTGAAACCTTACTGCACATCTACATGACACCACCAACCATCTCCCAAAAGATGATTAAGCTACTGTGTAAAATGTAAGAGGAGTTCAGGGAAGAAAAGTGTGACAGACGGACGGACGGACGGACGGACATGAGTAACAACAATATACCCGAACTTTCTTTAGAAAGTGCGGGTATAAAAAAAAGACTATGCACCACACTCTAAAATTGGTAGGGGGTTGAGAGGGGCTTCGTGTCACTTTTCTGTTCGGTACATCACTTTCATTAATCTTGAAACAAAAATTACGTATTTTCCAGCAACAAAAAATGTGGAGGGAGCTTCCAAATCAAAATATTATTTAAAACTGCAGGAAAAGATTATAATCAAAAAAAGTAAGCCCCCTCCTTCTGCATAGTTTTTTTTATTTTTCAAATTATTAGGCGTAAAAATATCTATATTACAGAAAACCTATTCTCTCTCTCTCGCTGTGTGTGTGTACAAAAATGAAAGGGTTCTAACCCCCGGAACCCCCTCTGGATCCGCCAATGCTTTAATATAATATGCATCAATTTTCATTTTTTATAAGTTTATCAAAATGAATCAATAAATGCACAGCTGAACATGTGCATACATTTATATTATACTGATAAATGAAACACCAATTGAAGCGATTCTACTTATCAAATTGACGAATACACGTTTTTATTTTTTTCTATACGTGTGATTCGTCCGCACGATTCGTCAGTTACACAGGTAATCACAAAGTAAACAAGTTTACCGTTCGTAAAACAGATACTCAGTATTCGTTCGTTACGTGTTTGGTGTTCTCTTATATGAGGCTTGCAGAGTAAGCATGTTAAGTGATATTTATGATGAACAATTGAGATCTTTCAAAATTATGAATTTCATGACCTCTGGTTTAAAATACGAACCAAATTCAATTGTTGAAAAGTTGTTGCATGATACAAGTGTGATCTATATGACCCCTGAGCCTCTTTTTTCTTTGAATGATACATGTAGGTCTTTTATATTTAGATTTTCAAAACTAAACTAGTAATTACTTGCAATCTTCAAGTTGATATCGACTCGTAAATAAAACATACTGTTCCAGAAGATTAATTTCTTCTTGCATAAAGAATAAGCATGATTGCATTGAAGAAATATTAAGTTCTCTTGTAAATTTTCTACCCAACTAGTTCCAAATATCTATTGAAATACATAAACAATGGGGTATCTATTTTACTCAATAATAAAAAAAAAGTGTTTTCAAAAGATCATATAACAAAACAGTTTCAATACTTGCCAAATATTTAAAATTAACTAAAAGAATACGCATGTTTAAAATCCCAGCATACATTATTTCGTCGCTCTAACAACTATGCTGTAAACAAGTGTAGTGCAGAGTCTAAAGAACCGCGAGACTCTGGAGTAGTGTTATAATCAATTATGGAGACCAATGGCAAAAAGTCAGAAAATGATGAGAAAATAACAATACCAGGTCAAGTCGTGCAAGAAAATCAGAGGTAGGTCTTTTGAGTTAGTAATAAAGCTTAATGATTGATTTGCTGAAATGAAATTTCTCGATAATATACATGTAGATCCCGGTATGTAATAAATTTTGAAGTTTCATGACCAGATATGTTTACTAGATACTCCTTTTTTAACATTTTCATGTGAAATTAATGAAAAGACTCGAAAAGATTGATTTTACTATCATTCTTTGAAAATATTTGTGCATATCATACACTTTTTTAGTTACTTCAAAGAGAAATGATATGTAGATTGTTAGATTGATGTTAGATGTTAGATTGCTTCAGGGTTACAAACTGTGTTTTTCAGAACAGCGATTTTTTTTTTGTTTAAATGCAATTGGGATTAGGAAAAAGCGCAGAAGCAAAAACTGTAACTAAAGAAGACAGCTTCGCTGCATTAGTTTTAATTTAAATGTAGATGAACAATATTTAAATGATCAAATACTTGTTTTCAATACAGTGTATTTAAGATTTATATACATTGATAGCCCTTTACTTACTTCATTATTTGTATTGGCATTATAGGAAAGATCTTTGTATTATGTAATTATGTAATCATATGCAAAATAGACAGATAATTGCAGTATACGTATTGTCAGATTAGCACGTAGATTATTTTGTAATGTGCCAATCAAACAGAGATATGATTGTTTGTAAGAACATAAAGACGAACAGTTTGTTAGGAACTTTGGATTTAATCTCCCGTCCTAAAAGCAATTGAAGGCACGACCTTGTCTTTACAATTTGAAATTGCTTGCAAAGCTTGCCTTGTTTTAATGCATTTTTCTTTGTATGTACAATAAGTCTTCGCATTATTTGGTGGTTCTGAACCATAAATATTTCATTTATTCAAAGAATGTATTCACTATAACAAAAGAATTGACCTATGAGATAACAATTTCCCGGTAATGATTATTTGTTGTTTTCTACCGTATATATTTCTACATTTTTCGAATGTGTATTTTATGCATAAATTTTATTATTTACAACTTTACAATAAACCTCCAAAGTCGGCCGAAACACCATTTTGTTTGTTAAAGGGTTGATTTTTGCATGGATTTTGGCCTAGAAGTCCTTCAGGGCAGGCATGCCTCTAAATAAAATTGTAATATTTTGATAGGCTGGGATGTAAGGGATAATTCAAAGTTAAGTTTTTAGGGGCACCCCTGCCCTAGAGTTGCAATTCACAAAAAAAAAAATACAAAAAATAAGGACACCTGATTTTGATAATCTGCTTTAAAATCATGCAATAAAACTTTATACTCAGACTAGCACAGTCCATATATGCGCTGACTTTCACACCATGGATACTTTCTTTTTAAAGTCGGGGGTTCAAATTCACCTGGTACCACACTGTTAAAGTTTAATTTTTGGCCTTTTCAAAGACTATTTTCATTTTTTCAAGACTTGTGTATTTTCCTTTAATTATTTATCCTTTATGCGTGCCCATTGTTGATATAAGAAACACCAAAAGAGAGCCCAAATCGTAACAATCCAATGTACAGTTGTCAGTCAGGCGGAATAAACCTCAATATAAGCACACTTTCTACTAGGACAAGAATAACCTACTCTGTGTTACTCGATACAGATACATGTATTCTTGGCAGTATTGGGCTGCGATGAATTTCGATTGTATATATATATCAGTTGATTTGATACGCAAGGGCATGCTCTACGCACATGTATGAACAATTTCTAAAACGAGGTAGATTATTGACAAGCAAGTTGATGAAACAAGAATATTAGCAGTCAGTTTAAAACATCATTTCGTAAGTTCTATGGTCGATACAATGACCTTGTCAGCAAATACAATTTATCATAAAGTCAAATGCTGACTGACCTTTATCATACTAATTGTTAGTCCATTATTTATACACTGAATTGACGACGGATTTTTCCGTTATTGCCTGATCATGACAAGGAGCACACGGCGGGTGTGACCGGTCAGCAGGGGATGCTCACTCCTCCATGGCACCTGATCCCACCTCTGATGTTTCGGAGGTCCGTGTTTGCTCTCCTCCTATTTGGTATTGTTTTATGGACTTGAATAATGTTCGTCATCTCCATATCCATCATAATATCTACGGAAAAATAGCATAGACATAAATAGAATTTCAGAGACAGTAGACATAACCATTACCGGCGGGCGGGGGGGGGGGTATGCACAATAAGTAAGTAAGTAAAAATTATTACATTTGGAGATAACAAACTCAGAAAAATCAATGAAAGGGTTCCTCCTATCTCTAATCACCGAAATAAAGATTTAAGAAAAACAAATTGTTATATGTATTCAGCCTAATGCCATTAATCGGAACCAAGCTTTTTGTAGAGAAAAAACCAAGCCCGGTCCTATAGGTCAGATCCCTATTTATAATGAAGTGATCCTTTTACTTGTTTCATAGCACATGTGTAACAGATATAATATTTTACAGTTCTAGCAGTAATGGTAAAGTTCCTCACAGATCTGAAAGTGAACAGAAGATAAAGGAAGTTGGAGATACAAAGAAACAGCCTGATAACGAACAGTATGTAGATTATTGAGAGGGCTTACCATTAAATCTACCGGTAACTCTACATCTACCATAAAAAAAATCATTCACTATAATTTTTAATGCATGTACAAGTATAAGAAATGTAATTTTTTAAATTTGATCTCTTAGCTTTATAAATCTTGCATTGTCTTTTGAAGGAATTATCCTCAAATTAAAATTCTTCAATAATGTCAATGATTTTTTCCAGCAATATGTGAATTAAATAATCCTTTACTGGATAATGTTTATAGAATATTGTTGTAGGAATGAATTGTGGGATTCAGTAGCTGAAACACCGCCAATAAGCTCTGATGATTCAAACACCTATTGGAACATTTTAACAAAGATAGGTGTTATTATATTCAGTATCACACTCTTTTTCATTGTTCTGGTATCAACAGGATTAACAAGAATTATCGTCCATTTAATGATCTGGAAGCTGAATCCACCACAAGCTACTTCAACCGCAACTATAAATAAATTGGGCGGTCTTCTTCATCTTGTGGAGGACAGAACCTTCCTTAAATATAACTGCACTCAAAACTCTAATAACACTGACTGTGTTTCTTCATTTCTTCAAAGGGAGGATTTTCCGGCAACTTGGGAATGCGTTCCAATAAGTCCTCATTTATGTCAGTTGATGGAAGAAACACCTTCGGTGAATGTGATGTGGATTTGGGGTCTCGTTATTGTAATAGTGGTTCCAGACATCTACACAATTTTTCTTTCACTATGGAGATGCTGTTTTAAAGAAACTCAAGAATGTGACTTAGGAATGTTAAAGATGTTGATATTGGTAGGTTTTGTTCCGTTTTAAGTCATATTTTATTTGCATTTTATTTTTTCACAAACACTTGTAAGTTTAGTTTTCCGAGTTGCTTCAAGACAGAAAGAACAAGCATTATAGTAAGTCTTCTTATTAATTAAGATCCTCTTAATATCTTTCAGAGTCTGTTGGTGGAGACACTTCATACAACGGGTCTTTGTCTTCTTGTTTTTCTTGTGCTGCCTGCGTTTGACCCAATCACTGCTTCTCTGTTGTCTTACCTCATCATTTTCTTTCCAGTAGTTTTTAGTGTGTTTTGTGACCTCAAATTCTCTGAAATGGATATAAAAACTATGACACAGAAAGTAGTCGATGGTTCTTGTATTAAAAAAAGAGAGTTGCCAGAAAGGAAAAAAGATGCTGATATTGAAAAAGAGATACCTGAAGGAAAAAACGTCTCTGGGATTGGAAAAGAAAAAGAGTTGCAAGAAAGTAAAAAAGATTCTGACACTAAAGTTAAAAATTCTCCTAGTAGTGAAAAAGAAAGTAAAAACGATTCTGATACTAAAACAGAATTGTTTAAAGTTAAAAATGCTCCTAGTAGTGAAAAAGAAAGTAAAAACGATTTTGATACTAAAACAGAATTGCCCGCAGTTAAAAAAGAAAGTAAAAATGAGTCTGATATTGAAAAAGATATGCCAGAAAGTGGAAATGTATCTGGTAATGAAAAACAAAAAGTGTTGCCAGTAAGTAAAAATGAAAATGACACCAAGTCATATGACGTTGTCTTCAAAATTACACAAATAGTTGGATTTGTCTTTTTTCTCATTTCCTTGGGTTTTGCAGGTTCGTATATTTACGAAAAATCTGGAGAGGAAAATTTTGCTATAATTTTTTGTTTTTTAATATCCGTGGTACTGGTTTCTGTGACTTATTGGGAAAATTTCTTAATGTTAAGTTCCCCAATAACTCTCGAAAAGGATACAAATCAGCTAGAAAGTATAAAAGCAAGGTTCAAAAATTTTCTCAAGGAATATATTCGGTCTAAAAGAGAACTGGTCTTGCTTTTCACAGCTATATGGAAAGTGGTTTTGTCTATTTCGTTTCCTTATATCATTTTTTCAATAATGTCGACCGATGATTCGACTGACTACGACGCAGTTAAAGCTATTTCTTTACTAGGGACTTCAAAAGTAAAAACCTTGACGGGTAAAGTTATTCTTGAATCCAGGTCTTATTTCTCTTACGGCTGTGGACGAAATGACATAGACATTCTTATAATAGTTTGTGTTATTCTGGGCTTTGTTGGATTCAAAAGTGCACGATTTGCATGTAGAGTCAATCTTCAGTACGTCTGCTTTTCCTTACCTCTCGTGCTAAGTTTGATAGGTACCCCTCTAATGATTATACCCATTATGAAGTGCCCTTTGTCCTGGACTACCCAGGACTGTAGCATTGTGCAACCTATATGGGAGTTAAGAGGAAGATTCATTGAAGACATATGGCAGTTGATTGTGTCAGGATGTTTTGGATTTGTTGCATGCATTCTGCTAACTTTATACGTTTGGACAAACAGTGGATCCAAGCTAGTTAAGTGCGACAGGTAAGGATGCAAAATACAATGTATGATGTATGTTAATTATGACTAGGGTCTAACCACGCCTATCAATTGTATTTGTTCATTTATGTAGAAATAAAGTATTTTTACTATTTGTAATTTTAACTCAGACAAAGACATTTGAAATGTAAATATATTGTTTCAAATATATATAGCATGGTTTTATGTATATATTAATGTTTGCAATTTTGCAGATTATTCAGGAAACCGCCGTACTGTGGAATTTTTCTAAATACTTCTTTACTTTTAACGAGATGTAAAGACACAAGGGAACAGAGAGGGGAGGAAAAAAGTGAGGTTAGTCTTCATATTTAAGGCTGCTTCTCCAAAAAAAAAAATTCAGATAAGATTTTGAAAAAAATACTGTTTACAGGAAGAAGAGAAATCTACGGGTTCTATCGACAGTGATGAATACTATATGCCATTTGTGTATTTCTGTGCAACCATGTGGCACGAAACTGAAACTGAAATGACACAGCTACTGAAATCCATCATTAAGTAAGTATTTCGTCAAGGTAATCGAAAAAAAATCAAATTTTGTGTTAAAGTAGAGTAGTTTTACATATGTAAAATTTCTACATAATTGCAGGGTTGATTATGAACAATATATTCAAAAAGAGTACGAAAAAAAGATCAAAGCAAAGAAAGAGTCATATTTTAACGAAGACCTTTATCAATTTGAAGGTAAAATATTACATTTATATACTGAGAGGAAAAATAATGAGCAGTAAAATTCAATGATAATTATTATATCATATTCGACGTTCATCTTTTTGAAATTTTCTCTGGTACACATCTTCTTCGATGACGCTTTCAAAATCCGGAAGAACAAAACTGGTACTAAACAACTGAAAGGCATAGAAGTTAATGATTATGTCAAGACACTTGAAAGTGTGGTTCCAAAAACAGCAAAGTAGGTTTATTGATAGAAATTGACACAAAACCTTTTCAATTGCAACTTTTAGAACTCTACAGCCAAAAATGAGGACGACAGTGTACTAATCACTTATATTATTAATATTCAGATCAATATACGGTGGATACGAGTTAGACGAAGTAAAGCGATATGAGACGCCTTATGGTGCTAGGTTCGAGTGGGAGCTACTAACATCACAAAAACTTGTGGTGCACCTTAAAGACAAAACTAAAATAAGGCATCGTAAACGTTGGAGCCAGGTACAAAAAAACACACATTCTTCCTCACACACATGCACAAGAGAAATTGAAAGAGAAAAGGTGACGATAAGAACATGCAGTGATCGAGCTCAAAAAATAATTTAAGTACTCTCTGTGAAAAGGTAATAAAACACGGGCCCCTTGCTATTCGAGAAGTAGAAACAGGTGACTTTCCCTAGTCAAATTTAATACGAAATCAAACGTTTTACAATAAGTATGAAATGAATCATCTAAAATAAGATCAGTGGTGTGTTATATTTGCAAACATAGAATTTACAAAATGCTGACTTAAAACAAGTTTTACTAACTATAGACGGTGATGGCCAACCAATATCTAAAATGTCCGACAAAGTAGAACAACGATAGACGGTGGTCATCAACCAATAACTAAAATGTATGTGGCAAATTACATGTAGATGACTTCAGCTTTCTATTCGTCAATATTTCCGTTTTTATTCATAAAATTCAGCTTTCATCTACGTTCAATAAATAATGTCCTCGGTGCTCAGAAAGAATCAAAAGACACTTTTCAATGATTTAGTCTTCATGATTTTACTTATTAATCTCTTTTAAGCAAATTACGTCTCCGTAACATTTTTGATCCAATTTCTGATTGTTTTTTGAACTCATTTTTGGGTATGACCCTTAGTATACTGGAAAATGGCAGATCCAATGATTTCCCGGACTTGTTTCTTCCTTCTGATAGGTGTTTTTTTTTCAAGTTTGGAAATAGAAACAAGTCAAAAGGTCAAAGATCTGGCGAACATTGTTAATGTTAAAAAACAGGAACTTTCTGTTTATCCCGAAAACCCCTTTACTCTTCAGGGCATGCGGGTATGGACGCTGTCATGAAGAAATTCAATGTAGTGGATTCCTGATTCTGGGTCCTTCCTTTAATAAACCTTTTGATTTTCTGCAAAAAAAATAGCTTTCTAGACTCCTCCAGAAATGAAACTGTCTCTCCGAATACGAATTTGAACAACAATACCACTAATTTTTAAGAAAATTATATATACATCTGTCTTTGTGCTCTTGCATACCTGTGCTCTCGTCAGACATTCGCTGTTTTTATCAAGTACATCTTATGGTAAATTTTGTTTTTAGGGTTTTAAGCAATAGATTCATGTTCCAATATCTGTTTGAAAATAAAACAAACGTGGATAACTACAATTACTGATATTTTAAAATAATTGTTAAGAATTTCGTATACGCTGTCGTGTTCACACATTTTTCAAAATATAAGGTGACCATTGTGTACCAAGCTTTTTTACCGTCAAACGTTTTTTTTAAAACTGTGTAAACTACTCCCGATATGATATCTATCAAATTTGCTATGTGTCTTAAAGTCAATCATACATCATCAAATATTATTTGTTGAAATTTGGCGAACAGTACATAAGTGATTTTTGTGGGCAAGGACAGTGCCCATTTTTGATGCCCATTATATAACTTTTTATCATTGAAATCCACCTGCTCCATGCGTGTAAGAAACAGACATTAGTTGCTGTAAATGTCACATATTTCAGTGAATATTTCTTTGGGATTTTAAACAAGTTTTACAGCAGCTTTAATGTAGCATTTATTTTCACTCTAGTTTACTGATTCTTTACCATTCATTTATAATGCAGTGTCTCGAAAAGCTTTTGTTTCCCAGCTTCTCACGATGAAACTATGTGATGAAAAGTGGTCACATGAACTGTTATAAATTCATGAAAGATTCAATAATGAGAGAAAGTCAAGTTTAATGTCATATGATATCTGTAATGTATGTCATATAGTTCAGGACATTATTTATTGAACAGCCCTCGTAGATATCTGACCTATAGGGCCGGGCTTGG